TCTTGGGTTCAAATTCGCATCTAGCCGCATTTCTTTTCCAAAAACGACCCTGACTCCCACGTCGACAAAGCCTTGAATGGGTACGAGGTAGAGTCCAGGGAAGCATCACCCACCTAGCGCTGACTGTCTAACATTATATTAGATACGTCTAAGGGTGTGGCAAAAAGCCCTTTTCTGGCGACCTTAATATTAATCCTTGTGCGGGTTTGGGTGCCCACTTTGATGACAGAGAAGAAAAATAGCATTAACAAGCATTGCCATAAAAGGGGACAAAGTAGGGATTTGCTGACATTGGATATTTTGGGCCAAAAGCCGCAGATATCTCTTCGTAGTTGTAAACCACCACGTACCAACAGCTATTCTGAGGGAAAACGCAGGAGAAGGAAAGGGAGAATATAAAAGAGTGTGATGACACTTCACTGTCTGTCTGTTGGTTTATAACAGTTTCATGCTCCTTATGTTCAAGGCGTGGACAGAAAATATAGTAATTTATTTTCTCCTTTGTTTTAACTTACTAAACATCAAGAAGCATTGTGTACAGATTATTAGAGTATCCCCGCACAGTTGGGGGGGGGGGGGGGAGAGAGAAGAGACAGACCAACAGAGACAAAAGAAGGAGCGAGCATTCTTTTTAGACAAAGAGAGATAGCTAGACACACACACACACACGCGCACACACACACGCACAGAGAGAGAGAGAGAGAGAGAGAGAGAAGAGGGGGAGGAAACGGAGAGAGACAGAGAGGAGTGTGCTGCTGCTAATTTGTTCCATATTTCAGTAATTACGACTTCCCTTCTGCCCAGACAACTGTAAAATATTTTCCCAGCCATTTAACACTGTCCTGACGATTGATTCACTCGTGTCTGTCATTATTTCGCCCACTTGTGAGGTTCATTGAAGACTCGTCTTGATAACTTCCATTGCACGTTACAGTACATCCGCTACTTGCTACTGCTGTCTCGCTGGAGTATCAGTAGAATCGGTCCCATTGTCTGATGATCTCAGGGCATAGTATTTATCACAGGTAAGGTCAATGACACAGCTTTTTGAAAGCAACATTAGCGGGAGTACTGGCGAACTCGCGCTGATCTGTTTCATCTGGGTAAAGATTGGACATCACAGCATTCAGGGCAAGCATATATTAGCTTTCAACAGCCAGTGAAGAGTCTTTATACTGATGGTACCTATAGTCTTGCCCAGAGTCTCGAGTGGCACCTAGAGTCTCGAATGTAACCCAGAGTCTCGAGTGGCACCCAGAGTCTCGAGTGGCACTGAAAGTCGCGAGTGGCACCCGCTCAGTCTCGAGTGGCACCCAGAGTCTCGAGTGGCACCTTGAGTCCGCAGACACTCTCGTCTGCAACATTCTCTGTAGAGGTGGGTTTTCAGTATCTTATCCATAGGCGAGAGATCATCTCTACCTTGTGCAGTTTCAGTATACCCCCAAGTGTGGCCAGTTCAGCCAATCTACTAGATCGAAAGAATTATGCAACACTAAATAAAACTAGAATAGCTATAGAGATCGCCACATATTCAAACGAACATTTCAGCTAATGTCCTTTATCAACCTTTTTTAACCTTTTCTTCGTCATCCTCATTTTCATCAAGTACCTTGCCGACTAAGATGGGTGATCAAGCCTTTTCACAAATTGCCATCTCCAACAACGTGTATCAGTTCATGTGCTTTTACCCTTTCATGTCGTGACAAAAAGCTGTCAAGAATCTTCTCGCGTTGTCTTTCTTTATCTGTCTTTCCACAAATCTTGACAGCCGTCAAAACATAAATATGTTGTCATCAAGCCTTCGCCTCTTTCTGGATTACTCATTTTAGCTGTTCACTGAATTTCAGGCACTCTTCTGTAAAAGCCCACATCTCTGAGACATCATGAAATTGCCTGGCTTCTTCTTCTTCTTTTTTTTTTTTTCCTAATTATTGTACGTTTAAAACACAAATAGTTAACTACATTGGTATTGTGTTCATATAGTAGTTTACGTAGTGCGCACTTGTAAAAGCTATGAAAATACAATTTTATACCAGATCTAGTAGAGCGCTGTTTTAATATACAGTTTTTACTTTATACATCGTTTCAGATTAGATGTACAAGAAATACGGCAGGAAAAACAAGAAAAGACAGAGTCATCAACGAAGAACTAAGAAGAATGGTCGGCGCAGCAACAGTAAATGATTTTGTAGAATATCAAAGAATAAAATACTTTCGTAATCCTGTCAGAATGAAACAAAATCAACCAGCAGCTAAAACGTACTACATGGGTGGAAAAAACCAGGCTACGAGTTAATAGGCCACGCAAAACAGAGATATGAGGCTGAGTCAAAGTGACACTAGATTGACGCAGTATGACATAAACCGAAGCTACCAGACACTGGACTGACCCATTATGACATAAACCCAAGCTACCAGACACTGGACTGACGCAGTATGACATAAACCCAAGCTACCAGACACTGGACTGACGCAGTATGACATAAACCCAAGCTACCAGACACTGGACTGACGCAGTATGACATAAACCCAAGCTACCAGACACTGGACTGACCCATTATGACATAAACCCAAGCTACCAGACACTGGACTGACGCAGTATGACATAAACCCAAGCTACCAGACACTGGACTGACCCATTATGACATAAACCCAAGCTACCAGACACTGGACTGACGCAGTATGACATAAACCCAAGCTACCAAACAGCAGAAGACAGGAAACTACTTGTAACTCTAGTCTGCGAAGTTCTACGGCATAAACAGTTGGAGAAAACAAAGGAGATATTTCAAGCTTACCGAAAGCAGCACAGTAGGACCAAGAGTAAGCAATACGTTTGAAACTTCAAAAGGATACGATATCAGCCGTTGAAAAACAGTTGCACCTAGCGGCCAGTCAGACAGTACATCATTTAAGAAGCCATGAGCAGAAGAAAACATTTAGTGCTTATACTGTTTTATTCTTCTTGTCTGTTCTAATAGCTTGATATAGTAAAAACTTGGTCGGGCACCTTCACTTTGCTGAGACCCGTTTTATGTTTTATTGACCTGGGATCTAGATCATTTATCACAAATCCGCTTGTGATGTCCGAGTAAATTTATCTGTTAGCGTGATGCTGGCATCGCTTGAAAGTTGCAGATTCGACTCCCATTGAGTCTTCTAATCTGTTGTTCTTTTCACTTCTACAAGTGGATTTGTATACCTGTCTCTAATACAACTTCCGTGACGTCAATGGTTCTCCAGCAGACGCTATTTCTGTGTAGTGGATAGTTTCGTGCATTTATTATTACACCTCTTCTGTTATAATCGTAAATCTATGTTTTTGTATTAAATAGATTACAAATGTGCACATCTTTTTAACTGCCAGAAGGAGTAATGCTTGCATTCTGAAAAGATATGTGGAGGGGAAAAAACATTACCTTTCTGAAGCGATTCTTGGCATGAGCGTGTGCGTGACCTAGTAACATCATGTCGCGTTGTAACATTTGCAGCCATCTTCACTCAATCGATATCCTGGTCGCAGCGACCACGCCTCCAAGAATAACGGAAACCAGCGAATGACAGCAGTGGTTGGTTGTTGAGGTATCGGTTCCGTTATGGCAGCAACTGAAAGGGTGGGAAGTCAATTTGTTCTGTGCTTGCATCCGCCCTTGTATTGATCACAGGATCAATAAACCTTCTCCTTGTTCTGGCTAACTTCCTTGGTATTGGCCCTTTAATCGGGAAGTCACCCACCCTCCCTAGGCCCTCCTGATTTCATATGTTCAATTAAAGATCCTTCCTTATTGTGAAGAACCCCGGCACTCATAGCATCCTCCCAGGGCCTGTCCTGGAGCACTCTGTCGATTCTTGTCACCGGTAGTGCCAGCCAGGGACAGGAATTCCGTGCGGGAAATTGGACTTGGGCCTTCACGGAAACCTGGCCTCAAACAGGATAATTGTAAGAGGAAGGAGGTAAGGAAAGCGCAGCATACGAAAGGATTTCCAGCGGAAAACCGGTGTTGCAGTCTCCATCGAATTCTCTTCCTCCACATCTTGTGTTTTCGCCGGCATTCTTTTCTCACTTCCTTACTTCGGGTGAAGATTTTGACGTTAGATTTTGTCATTGGATGTTTGATTTCTGGTGACAATTTGCCGTGACCTGGTGAGAATTGATTATTGGAAAATTAATGACGCCGTTAATATAGACATTAATGCCATAAAATTGATTGATCTCAAACCTCCATCACGTGCTGTAAATAAAAATAACCAATACAGTAATGAGTGACACCAAAGTTATACTTTTTTAAATAAATGTTTCAGATGTTTTTTTTTTTTTTTTAATATAACTACAAACATTTTAAAACAAGAGTTTTTTTTTTTTTTTTAATACAATAAAACAAATAACAGACAATCATTCATGATAAGCAGAAAGCGATGAAAAAATGATAATATCGCTTCTCTGATTTTCTTAAATTGAAAACTAACGCCAGGAACCACTTCGAGTGTTTGTCTAATTGTTCATTAAGAGAAATGATGTATATAATCTTTAACATTTGAGAATATCAATTTACCAACAACAAATCTCGTGTTAGTTAAAATACATTACCAAATAGCAAAAGTTAAGTTTTACATTCGCAATTTTATTGGATATGTCGTTGAAATAAAACTAAACAATTTTATGTCTAAACAGATACTTTGTAAAATAAGACTTCAGTATTTGCATTGACTATATACCTGGTTTAATTCAAGGAAGAAAAACACAATCGCCGAACTGGGCAATGATATCGTGTTTCTGTGCAACTACAGCAAAAGGCAACGAAAAGAGACACAATAATTGTCTACAAAACTGACAAAACAATGTCTTGAGAATGTGTCAGCAAGGGCAAGAAACACATAAGTCTGTATTAGTACCAGTGTTTTTAGTTGATGATCACATAAATCCTCTATAAACAATTCTGAACCTGTACTTGAGTGAACGCGTTTAACAAGGAAACCATTGAGGCTATCTGACAGCAACA